TCCCAAACAATACATCTTCAAGTGTACAACGGAGGATTTCTTTCAAACAAGTGCACTAACTACGTGTCATCACTTACAGCGATTTTGCAGACTTAAAAAACAGTAACTGGAGCTTGTCTGTCGTTGCCTCGCTTAATCATGACGATCGCTTCACAGTGGCTTCAATCGACAAGTGTTATATCGATAGTACCATGGGAATGACGAAGATGCATGCATGCAACTGAATGAAAAAAAATTAGGGCAGCGGGGCCTGCTTGTTTGTTAACAGGACAACACATTCCTAAGCGCGCATCAGCACTTCAGCCTGCCTCCAGTGGCCTACAAGGCGTGTAGGTGGTCCGCATAGTATCCCGCCGCATTTTAGCCGAATAACCTTACGATACTCTTAAGAGCCACCATTAAGGTACGAAATAGAACCAAGAAGCACAACAACAAAAATGTAACGAGCATCAGGGGTAGAGTGCACAAAAATAGGGCGATCGACAGATCAGCGAGCCCCAGCCCCTTTTTTTTTACATAGCATCCTCCGTGGACACATCACGGGAGAGAGAATCTTGACAAGCGTAATTTTTTTTTCTTACCCGTCGCCGACTACCACGCATTTGATAGCTTGCATTTGTACACGAACTAAGGGCTTCCGGGGAGCCGGCGCTGGTCGTTTAATAGATCCGACAGGGTGCACTTAGGACTCGGATGAGAGCAGTGAGCCAGTCTGCTCCGCGGAGGCGCTGCAGTGAAAGGGGAGACGACGAGTGCTCCCGAGCGGGTCCGGAAAGTACCGAACAACTGTTTCGAAGGGGAAAGGCCGTTACCGTTGCAGCGCACAAGAAAATTACCTCCACCTACTTCCGGTTTTTCCTAGCGTGTCGCAAGTATATATTTTTTGGTCTATATATTAATTAAGTACTTACTTACAGTGATACAATTGATACATATATTTTATTTTCTAAGACTGTCAACATTTGTTAACCCTTTCTGTAACAAATCAATGCCTCTTCACCCTTGAAAAACTGTAGTGAAGTTGTCAGGTAGCTAACAATTAAAAGGCATGCTATTACATGTATTATTATCGCCTAAAGTTAGCACATCTTGGGCTGTAAAAACAAAACAAAACAAACGTTGCGCCAGCTATAAATACGTTACAAGCCCTGGAAGTGGCATTTTGACAGGCAAATCCGGATATACAAACCATTGAACAAAAAGACGGCTTGTGACTTATCTTGACAGCAAAAATCTTTGGTAATAGAAACAAGTGACCTCATGCATCTTCAGCCCCATGCCACAGACGAGTGAACACACTGAATGCTAACCCAAAGCTGGAGACAGCAGAACAGGCCAGGCTATCCATTAAATAATACAAACATGATTCGTTTATGAAATTACATTTTATTGATTTAGAATCTATGAAATAACACCTTAAATCAAAATAGTATCAAACCATTACACCAGTACAAGCATCCTTGCCGGCATGTGAACTGCATTTTGATTTGACAGACATAATAAAAAGGCTTCAACTGTAGCACTCCAAACTGAAGTGGTGTAAAAGTTGTTAAAACAGAATACAGTCTAGAAACAGTGTTGAAGGATTTTATACCTCACTTTTGAAAACGTCCCATAAACATGTTCATCTTTCTAAAATAGTTCTCCGGTTCTTGTCGTCTTATGGAAGCAAACTGAAAAAGTTCCAATGGTGTAAAATATAATCACATCCTGAAAAACGATTTATTCTTAATACATCACATGTCGTCTTCTCATGTAACTTTCAGAAAAGCATTCATTTTAAAATAGTACAAAAGATAAACAGTGAGTACCTACTTCCGGTTTTTCCTAGCGTGTCGCAAGTATATATTTTTTGGTCTATATATTAATTAAGTACTTACTTACAGTGATACAATTGATACATATATTTTATTTTCTAAGACTGTCAACATTTGTTAACCCTTTCTGTAACAAATCAATGCCTCTTCACCCTTGAAAAACTGTAGTGAAGTTGTCAGGTAGCTAACAATTAAAAGGCATGCTATTACATGTATTATTATCGCCTAAAGTTAGCACATCTTGGGCTGTAAAAACAAAACAAAACAAACGTTGCGCCAGCTATAAATACGTTACAAGCCCTGGAAGTGGCATTGTGACAGGCAAATCCGGATATACAAAGCATTGAACAAAAACACGGCTCCTGACTTATCTTGACAGCAAAGATCTTTGGTAATAGAAACAAGTGACCTCATGCATCTTCAGCCCCATGCCACAGACGAGTGAACACACTGAATGCTAACCCAAAGCTGGAGACAGCAGAACAGGCCAGGCTATCCATTAAATAATACAAACATAATTCGTTTATGAAATTACATTTTATTGATTTAGAATCTATGAAATAATACCTTAAATCAAAATAGTATCAAACCATTACACCAGTACAAGCATCCTTGCCGGCATGAGAACTGCATTTTGATTTGACAGACATAATTAAAAGGCTTCAACTGTAGCACTCCAAACTGAAGTGGTGTAAAAGTTGTTAAAACAGAATACAGTCTAGAAACAGTGTTGAAGGATTTTATACCTCACTTTTGATCTTTCTAAAATAGTTCTCTGGTTCTTGTCGTCTTATGGAAGCAAAATGAAAAAGTTCCAATGGTGTAAAATATAATCACATCCTGAAAAACGATTTATTTTTAATACATCACATGTCGTCTTCTCATGTAACTTTCAGAAAAGCATTCATTTTAAAATAGTACAAAAGATAAACAGTGAGTGGGGGTGAAAATTAAAACGAAAGGTGAAATGTTTTGAAGTAGCACCATTTCACAAGGTTTCTAAAGATGAAATACAAAACATTTAGCACTTGTCAATAGAGGCTCAGAATTTTAGTTTGAGGTCATCGAGTCATTTTTTGGAGCTGCTGTACTGTGCCAGAGGGGAGCCTTGGACATAAGTGAGGATGGCATTCTGTAGATATGTCGCTCTTTGGGCTTCATCGTCCCTCATCCTCTTGATCTCTGCCTCTTTAAGTCGGAGCTTCTCCAGCAGAGAAGACATCTCGCTGTCTTTGTCGAGCAGCGCCTCTCGGTGGTTACTACTCAGTACTGCAATGACCACAGTAAACCACAAAGAAAACATCTTTTAGAAACCGATCAATAACTACCTTTCAGACAGGATGAATTTTGAGTCTACGGCATTTATATGATTCAATTCAGAATTTACATTTTAATCAAATGACTGCATTTGCTTGATCTTGAACGTTCTTGTGCTTTTTGGGATGTCAGAGATTAAATATGATCACGTATTATTATTGCAATTGTTGAAGATTTATGTTACAGTGAATGAAAAAGGCTACCATATACAATCATGAAAAAGAAAGTAATCCAAGAAGCAAAGACTCTTCCAAGTTTCGGCCAATAGAAACTAGTTAATTTTTCAAATATAATCAATTGTGTGGATTGTCACGAAACTTCACCGTATGCTTGAAGTTAGAAAGAAGACCACAAGAGGCACCTTTAATCTCTCGCTCAAGGGCATTGATCTTCTCTTTCATTCCTCCTTGTGCGATCCTCTCGGCCTCCAAGTGTCCAATCTGCTCCTGTAGCTCCAACCTGACTCGACTCACCTCAGTCACCTTTTCTTGGTCCTTGCCGGAAAGTTCCTGCAAGTGTACAACACATTTAAGATGCTATTTTTTATGATTTCAAATTGATTTAGTGCTTTGGCTGTTGCCAGGCATGGCTTCCGGTTAATTTATGGTTTTGTTATCTCTTGGCTCTGGTTTGATTCTTGAACAAATTGTTGTTTTATTTCCCGGTGTCTTGTGTATGTGCCTTCCTTATTTGTTGAATGCAGTTTTGACAAATTCGCTAAATTTTGCAAATATTTGGATGACATGACAGTTTTGGTGAAGGAATTTTGCTCATCGTAGTACTACAGCGGTAGTGTAGTGGCCACTGGCTTGAAGTTTATGTCCCCCTGTTCCCGTTTCCAAATGACGCCGCAAATACGGTTTGAAAATGATTAACTATAGTTTTGAGGCATGCATTTTTTTGTGTCAAACAATTTTTGTGGTTGATACAACCACGCTGGTCAAATCTTTTCCCCAGGCCTAAGAGATATACTGTATATAAAAATGAAAGACGACTGACTGAAATGAAGCATTTTTTTTTCCTCAAATGGCAGCCGTTGTAACTTGAAAATTGCATGATACTCCACTGAAATTTGAATTTCCCCACTATAAGGTGCACCGAAAAGCATTCAATTTTCCCAAAACCCGACAGTGCGCCCTATAATCTGACGCGCCTTTTTCAGTGTTTGGTGTCACAGTCTCTTTAGGGTATATTCCCCATTGAGTTGTTTCCCTGTTAGTGTTCCGATGCCATCTAGTGGTGATTATTAGCAGGAACCAATTTTAACCTAAAAGGGTTCTGCCCAACACCAACTGACATGTGCATTCACCAACACACACTCAAACAGACAACTACTTTTGTGAGCTCTGCGCAACGAAGATAATACAAAAAGCATAGTTAACTACTGACTAAACGAAGGAAGAAGGAGACAAGCAAGACTTCTAAGTCGTCCTTCATGCTACATCATGAGGGAGCTACATAAGGATCAATATTCTGATTTCTTGGACGTAGTATTTTAATAGTTCTGTAAAGCGCTTTGTTACAGTTGTAGTAATTGTAATGGCGCTCCATGAATAAAGCTGTATTGCATTGTATTGTATTCCCTTTAGCATAGCTCCATGTAGTGGATGCATAGGGCAACCGCAGCCAGTCCTCGATAGATACCGTATTGGCCCGAATATAAGACAGTGTTTTTTGCATTGAAATAAGATGAAAAAGTGGGGGTCGTCTTATATTCGGGGTCTAGAGATTATACCCATTCACGACGCTAGATGGCGCCAGATATCATTGAAGGGAATGCTGAACTTGACTCCGCAGGCCAGTCATGAAGAATAAAAATAAAAATAGCGGTAGCACGAAGAAGAAAAATAAAAAATAGCGGTAAGAAAGAAAAGAGAAGACAATAATAGAAGAGATAACACAAAATGGAGAAACGTAGTGACAATCTGGAGAAAAGTTGGTCGAAGATCGGCCAGGTTAACTGGCAGCTGAGGAAAAGTTATGATGTAATTTACATTTCAAAAACCAGAAGCCATTCATTTACGAATGTGATTGCACTTTAGTTTACATATTTAAATGTTCAGATATTAAGATTTGAATGAGGCAAAATAACATGCTTTTTCTCTCAAATATATTGTTAGAATCATTTGTTTCATATGTACCGTAATTATTTTCTGTACAAAAATTGATTTGGTGTTCAAAACGTCTTTTTTCAAATTTGAGTCTTTAAAAAGAGGGGGTCGTCTTATAATCAGGGCCTCTTATATTCGGGCCAATACGGTAGATAGAAAGCTGGATTGTATTCCCTTGAACATAGCTCCATCTCATGGATGCATAGTGCAACAGCAGCCACTATTGGAGCTTCTACTCCATATGCTTTATAATCTGAAGCGCCTGGTAGTGCATAAAATCCGGTAGATTAATTGTTCAGCCTTAATGTACAATAATGATTCCCAGTGAGGATGTAGTTGTAATCTTGTATGTAGAACAGGCTGCCGGTGTCCATACCTGCTGGAGCTCCTCTATTCTGCGACGCAGGCAGTCTGTCTCAATGGTCTGTTGACTGTTCTTGGCCTGCTGCTCGGAGATTATCTGTTTCTGTTGGGAAAAGTGCAGCTGGACCTCCTGCAGGGAGGTACGCACTGAGCGAAGCTTCTCCTCCAATGATGACACGTGTTCCTGCTGCTCAAAATAAATAAATTAAAAAAAAAAAAAAAAAAACCAAGATTGGATGGAGGGAGGCAGAGTGGTAAAACAGAAAATGTTCTGTATTTTCTGTATTTTAACCCTTTCATGCACCAACGATAACCTGTAACCTGATAACATGATAAACTGTCCACTGTAGTAACCATTGTCGCTGAAAGGGTTAAAATACAGTAAATGGAAGGTCACTGACGTCCATAATGCATCTCAACATTTTTTTCTCGATAGTATACAGCCCTGTACAGTATCTCCAACTTAAAAAAATGTTAGAAAAAAAAAATGCAGTTTCAATGGGTGTCAGTCACAAGTTCCATTGACCTAATGACGATTTCCGATTCTTTGGATTTCTGCATTGCTTCCATGTGGCCCATTTGAGATCTCAAGCACAGTTTATATCAGTGCAGTCGGTACACACCCCAAAAAAAATCTCTTACCAAACCAGTTGAAAAAATGACGATGAATCCAGTGAGTTTTTGAAACCAACCTCTTCCTGGCGCGCTTGAACGCGAGCTTTGCTCAGTTCCTCCTCTGCCTGGGATCTCTCGGCCACACATGCTGCTTTCGCCTTACTCAAGTCCTTAAAAGGGAGGCAGGACACTGTTACATACGATTGGTATGTGATCATCAAGCAGTTCATATGCATAGTTATTTGCACCACACCTTACAATAAGAGTCCCTTTTCTATTTACAAAGGAAAATTAATTCTTGATAAATAGTGAATTCAAACTTCAAACCTCTTCAAGTTGAAGTCGTTGTCCCTCCAGTTTGTAGATGCGCTCCTGCAGGGCTTTCTCACTTTCATCTCGATGCCGATTTACATGTTCAACCTGGGCAGAGAGACACCTGTTATAGTTTCGACATATTTTAAAAATAAAATGGAAAGAACACAAGAGTTGTTAAACAATGACGAAATGTAACATAAGAGGAAGCTGTTGGGGAAAAAGGAAGATGTTTTCTTTTTTGTTTGTTTGGGTTTTTTTTTTTTTATATATCATTGGAATCAAACCAAAAAGATGGATAAAACCAGGGGCTTCAGACTATTAAAAAAAAAAAAATTTTTTTAGAAGTACAGTGGCCGCTTACCTGAAGTTTTAGGGATGCATGCTGGAGATAATGATTTTGGATTCCGCACCCGGATATTAGTTAAAAACAGTGTCAAACATAACCCAACAAAAATTGTCTTCTCCAGAGTTATCATATGCTATTTTTTTTTAATTACAGTTTAATTATACTGCGCCAAAATAATCGGTTTACACTTGTGTTATGTTTTCAGGTTTTAAGTCAAGATGTGGTAGATATAGAATCAGCAGCCTCCTTTATTTTGGGTACTTCTCGGTGAGGTGCAAGGTAGACAGTGTACATTTGGCCTATGGGTATGGATTTTGACAACCAATCACGCTTGTTGTTGACTTTATTATAGGGCGAAACGGTCTGCGATTTCTTTTCCTCAATTTTGCAACTGTGACTTCAAATAAATGCATTATTTTGGGAAATTGAAAGACTTTTTATGACATGACTTTACCCCCTCGAGTTTTGTTTTCTTTTGTGCTGTATTCTTGCTCACAAGATTTTCACAAGTTGTATCCAATTTTCTTGCGTCTATTTCAATTTATTTTGATTACATTTAGCTCTGAAAATGACCGCTGCTCGGGCCTTTTTTTTTACGGTGCGGCCACGTTGATCAGTACTACCGGGTGAATTCACTGTAAGGGTGAGGAACTACCTCTCTTTGTCGTAGATGATCCATGTCTTCCAGGCCTTGCTTGAACCTTCGCTTCTCGATTTCCAGGCGGTCTGTTGAGAGGGCAAGATAGAATCCATATTTCCAAAGGTTCTGTGTTGGAAATGACAGTCAAAGTGGTGCTATAAATGGTTCACTATCTGTTTACCTTCTGCCTGTGCTAGCTTGAGCTTCAGCTCAGCTGTGCTGTTGGTCAGTCCCTGCTTTAGCTCAAAAAGCTGCTGCTGCTGGGATTTGCATTTGCGCTCCATCTCCTCCGTCTGACACACACAAGAAAAAAAAAAATCTGAATTTAAGGGAATGCTCAAAATGGATGTGTGTCTTTACAGAATGAATCGCTGTACCTTATTTTTTAGTTGGACATTGGTGTCGATCAAGTTTTGGATGTCTCTGAGAAGCTTTCCTTCCCTGGAAGCACTGTCCTGAATGACCAGAAAACATCAAAACCATCCATTTCCGATCCGCTTATCCTCACAAGGGTCGCGGGGGGTGCTGGAGCCTATCCCAGCCGTTTTCGGGCAGTGGGTGGGGGACACCCTGAACCGGTTGCCAGCCAATCGCAGGGCACACAGACGAATAACCATCCACACTCACACCTAGGGACAATTCTGAGTGTTCAATCAGCCTGTCATGCATGTTTTTGGAATGTGGGAGGAAACCGGAATACCCGGAGAAAACCCACGCAGGCCCGGGTAGAACATGCAAACTCCACACAGGGAGGCCGGAGCTGGGATTGAACCCGGTACCTCTGCACTGTGAGGTCGACGCGCTAACCACTGGACCACCGGGCCAATATCAAAACCTTCAAATTAATTTTTTTTAAAAAAGTGTTGATACTACAGCGTAATACAGAGTGGAATACTGCGTTTCTCAGCTCCTATATTGTGCAAATATCTTTGGGCTCTGCTAGTTTTCCTGGTTTTAATGAGCTTGTGAAAAAAAAAAAAGCTGAGCAAAAAAATGTGGCCATCAATTTAATGAACAATTCTTCAGCTTTATTTCTCTGCCTGTTTTTTCATTCAATTTTTTAAAAAAGGAATGCCGCAAAGAGATACGCACTGGATCGTCATTCACAAGGGTCAAGATCTGTCATTCTACCTCGTGTGCTTTTTTCTTCTCTCGGCTCTGTGTCTCCATGAGTTGCTCTTTCTCAACCTTCAATCTTGCTATCAGCTCAGCCAGGCTGTGATTTTTCTGCTCCGAGAGTGCAAGGGCAGCCTCTGTCATCTGCAATCTGCACGCCAACATAGAATCATACGGTATTTGTGGCAGGTGATGCATTTTATCGCACCGCAATGCTGCAGGGCAGCGCATCCACAGTTAAGCATGCCCGATAACACCGATGGACTTTAAATTTGGAATGAAAGGAATTATTACTTGGCAGTGAGAGAATTTACAGCTGACTTCCTCTCATTTAACGCTTCCTGGAGTTGACCGATTTGTATGGAACTGGATCTAGTAAGTAAAACAAAGCAGAAATAGATTATGGCATGGATATAATATGTCATGGATTTTTAAATATTAAAATTGTTTTACAGATCACAGAACGTAACGCAAGTAATGAAAGTAAATGCAGTGTGTGTATGTTTCTTTGAATGCACGACGCCGTGATGTACTCGTGCCAGTGTCTGCAAAGCTACAAACGGTTATTGATACGTTCTCACCGGTTTGACTGTCCCATCTCCTCTCTTTGCCTGTCGATGGTCACCATCAAGTTTTGGAACTGAAAAATGTGGAGGAGCAAAATAATGAAAGAGGCTGAATATTTATTTAAACTTAAAAAAAAAAAAAAAAAAAAAAAAAAGACAGCAAACAGCAAAAAATAAGGAAGATACGCTTCTCAAAAACAATATATGATTAATGTTTTTTCTGACATTAGCAACTACTACTTTAGAGGCTAAAAACAAATCTTGCCCAAGATGAACAGTGCACACAAAAAGTCGACCTGCCACGCATGTTTTTGGAACGTGGGAGGAAACCGGAGTACCCGTAGAAAACCCACGCAGGCACGGGGAGAACATGCAAACTCCACACAGGAAGGCCGGAGCAGAACCCTGCACCTCTGCACTGTGAGGCCGACGCGCGAACCAGTCGTCCACCGGGCCGAGATAAATCATTAAAATAAATAAATAAACAAATGAAAATAATAATAATAACTTTACCATAAATGTGACCAATAACCTCTGCAATTCAATGAGAAGAAAAATAAAAGATCCCCTGATCTTGACTCTCAATGTAACAATGGTTCACTGTCTCAATCAAGTACTGTCAATATGACTTATATGAAAAATATTCTAACGTTCATAAAAGAAAATAAAAAACTATTTTAATATGAATAAATGAATAAAACGACTCTTATCACAATATTGGTTGAGTGCCTCAGCTACCTGACGTCCCTTTTCCTGCTTCAGGTTCTGAATCTCCTTGCTGAGGACCTGGGTTCTGCTGTGGCTTTCTCTCAAGGTGGATTGTCGATCCGTGTTGCGTCCCACAACATGCTCTGAAGGGGTTAGACAGCATAGGCATGAGTTCGAAGTGTCACTGAGGGGGACTGGTTGCTGGACCCTCTGGCACACTTGCATGATGACTGTGAGAGCCATCAGCAAAATTTGGTTAAATTATATATCTGGCTATTTGTTCACCATTGAATAATTTGAATTGAACAAGTGCAAGCTGTTTTGCTTGTATTTGACGTTTTGTTTTATTGCTATTTTACTTACTGCAAATTTATGATCGTAGAAAGGGTTCTGTCAGTCGTCATCTGTACCTGTGACGACTGGTACACAGGTACAGATGACGACTGACATAACCCTTTCTACGATGGAACTTTCCTGTATGACTGAGAGCCTACACAAGCATGCAATTTTATGAAGAATATTGAGGTATCTGGGCTCCATTAGTTGTCCTGCCTTTAGCCTGTTAAAGCTAGGGTAGCTGTCGGTGGGTGGTGTTTATGTAAGCAGCATTAGGAAGACTGGAGTCAGGCATGGAGCAACAACTTTTCTGACCGTGTTAACAACGTGCAGCCACGTGCAGCGTGTAACGTGTTTCGTATTTTGTTTATGTGTAATGTGGCATTGTGTTAATGGGCTAACGTTACACGACCAAGTTATGTTTGTCATTTATTTGGTAAAGCTTAATTTGTGTTCAATAGGAAATAAAGCGAACCCCTTTTTTTTTTTGGATCAACTATGACAGCCTTGTGTTTTTGTTGGTGTCGTTGCTAAACAGAAAGGCCCGTCGAAGAAAGGCACGAGTTGGGAACCTTCATGCCCTGCTGACATAGTGACAAAAGGACAGTAAGTTGTCGCTACAGTTAATTTAATTTAAAAAAAAAATGATTCAAAGTCATAGAGGCGAGATTTTGAAAGCAGGATAGGGCTTTTTTTATGTGCATTATAATGGATTGCCAATCATCAGTGTGGGGTGGGGGGAAAAAGATGACTCAAGACCATAATTACCGAGTGCTTTGAGTGTGTCGCTGGGTATGTTGTTTCCAGCCAGCTCCAATTGCTCAACACCGTGGTTGCTCTGCAGAGCTTCCAGAAGACACCTGCCGCCCAGGAGCCCAATGTTGTTCCACCTCAGATCTGTCAACAGCCAGAGTCAAGAATGAACTAAGTGCATCATTGGGGTGTCCAGATTACTAACGGTATCTGACCTGCTATTCACTGATTTACAACTTTGTATCAGACTTACTCTCATTAAAATAAAATGTCATTAAGGCAACAAAACTAGGAGTGACTTCAGACTTTTTAAAAGTTCTTTTTTAACCCTTTCAGGGACAGCGGTCACTGCAGTGGACAGACGATCATGTTATCAGCTTACAGGTTATTATTTTTGGTGCATAAAAGGGTTAAAAAAATTAAGATTTGTGTGTGATTCACCAAGTACTTTCAGGCTGCTGTTGCGTTTAAGTGTCTGAGCAAGTGCTAACATTCCATGATGGTTGATCTGATTGTTACGCAGGTCAAGATGCGTCAGCACACTGTTGGAGCCCAGACCCTCGCAAAAGATAGCAAAAGCTTCATCCCACACTCCGAGCGCATTCCAGTCCAGCACTAACCTGTATACAAAATGTTGAGTCAATGTTCCACTTGTGACATAGTGACAGTACACAACCAGATCTGCATTTAGAATAGGAACAGCATGCAAAAGTACAATGACAGAAAACGAGCCGTCGTTCTCACCGAGTAAGGGAATTGTTACGTGCCAACAACTTTCCCAATGCTTCAGCCCCTGATGATTTCAGGTTATTTCCCTGTGAAGAATAATTGGCATGGAAAACAAAAATTATAATGAAATATATTCCGCATCTAAGAGTCAATACAGTTGAATTTGTGAAGACTTACCTTGAGATCCAAGACTTTTAGGGTTGTATTGTAAAAAAGACCGGTCAGGAAAACTTTTGCACCTAATGGTCAACACACAAGGTGATAAATATTAACACGGCAAAATACTTTTACACGAATTCCATACAGAGAAGCAAAGCTACAATGCAATTGAAGCGATGATACTTACATGATCCCTCCAAAAGTATTGCATTGGAAGAACAGCTAGAATACTTGTGGCAAAGCACACGGCAATGTTTTGAGGTTGTTGGGTTTTTTTGGGGTTTTTTGGGGTGTATCAGGTAAAATGTATCCTCTATCAATTTTAAGCCTGGAGATAGACTTGGCCCACTTTTAATAACTTTGGATTTCTTTCCCCTGAAGAACTCTTTCACTGTTTTGGAAGTGTGTTTGGGGTCATTATCATGCTGCATATAGATGGATCTTGTAATCAGTTTTGGAGACTCTGTTAACTTAGCCGCATGATCATGTGATAAATCATCAATGATAATTAATGTGGTGGTCCCAGAAGATACTACACAAGCCCAAGCAGGGATATTACTTGCAGAGGAGCTTGTTTGTCTTGTATTCATCTTTTTAGTCGTTTGGAGGAGATTGTATTGATGGTGATCAAGTGGTTAGCGCGTCTACCCCACAATGCAAAGGTCATGGGTTCGATCCCGGCTCTGGCCTTCCTGTGTGGAGTTTGCATGTTTTCCCCATTGCCTGCGTGGGTTTTCTCCGGGTACTCCGGTTTCCTCCCACATTCCAAAAACATGCATGGGAGGTTAATAGAACACTCTAAATTGTCCCTTGGTTTGATTGTGAGCGCAAATGATTGTTTGTCTATGTGTGCCCTATGATTGGCTGGCAACCAGTTCAGGGTGTACCCCAACTACTGCCTGAAGGCAGCTGGGACAGGCTCCAGCACGCCTGCGACCCTTGTGAGGATAAGCGGATGAGAAAATGGATGGTTGGATGGATGTAAAATACAATCACACTAACACAACGTTCAAAAACAAGCCTTGATGTCACTTTTGATGTGAATTGGCGCTCCGAAACTAAATACACTGAATTAGCTGCTCACGCCATTTTTATGTATTCACTTTTGGCACTGAGAACTCAGTGTGTAAATGTATCAATTATGTTTGTCAAGGCATAAAACATACAATTGACTGTGCATACATGATCAGGCTACAAATTGGTCATGGTGTCTTCACTCACCTTCGTCACCAACCATGCAGTCACTAAGTGACACCTCTGAAAAGAAAGTGTCTTTTTGAAAAGCACGGCCGAGGAGTGTGCAGGTATCTGCGGACAGACTCAGCCCACTCACATCCAGACGGGGAGACCTGCATTCTTGTAGTTTCACCACGACACTCTCTTGGGGCTCAACACCTCTTTCCTTACAGAGGCGTAAGTATGTCTGCCTGAAATCCTCCATTCTGCCTTCCTTTCTTTCGCACAGCACTTACTTCTTCACCATATCTAACAAAAGATGAAAACATAACAGTTAGATATTTTTACACAACACAATCCCTCTCAACAATATGGTTTGTCATTTAGAAACTCCGAATAGTAAACTTTCCATAGCATCTTCTTTACAGCTTAAAACAGTCATTCTCAAAGATCAATGTTTGAGTTCCCTGAGGGGAGTTTCTAGTAATAAAAATGCTTTACTTATTCCTGTAAAAGTGGTATTTGCGGTTGCATGTTCAATGTGTGTTAGTTTTTAAATCGGGCCCTCTGCATTGAGTATAAAGCACTTCTGTGGTATGGTTGGCAACAAGCAGACCCACTGTTTAATGGTACATTCTGCTCCAACGTCGAAGATCAGTTGTGCCTATCACTATATGTCGTTGGCATAGATAGCTGAAAACAGGTACATTTTTTGGAGTAGACGAATAACAACTTTCGATTACATGAAATAAAATCGTATAATTTTCCACGGCACCCGTGATTAACTTAAATACTGGTCAACATAAGGTGTCAGCTGGAAGAAAAGTAGGCAAACAATCTTTTTTTGTTTGTTTTGGTGGTACAATATGTTGACTTCCATTCATTTCGAAACTCCGATACTACGCTTACATTCACAGAGCGTGCCTTGGCTAACGTAAAAGAGAAGAAGTACGTGCTTTTACTCTAAACAATTAGCCCAAAATAGAGGAGTCAAACTTTCTGAAATGTTTACAACAATTACACAACTAATATATTCTCAAAAAATATAAATAATGACAGACCTTTGAGAATTGAGCGCCGCATTTTACACGCAACACAGTTGACAGACAAAAACAAAACCGAGCGAGTAACCAGGAAGTGTTTTTTGGGGCGTGGGGCATTGTGGTCAATGTAGTGTAATTTTATCAGCTCACTAATACCTGTACTGCTTTTGATCTTGTATACAAAATAACAATTAAAGTAAGAGAAATGTACTGAAATACAAATTATATGTAAGTATTTCGTGACATTTCATTAAATTCCACGTTGTTTGCGTCGCTACGCAGTCAAACGTGTTAAATCTAATGACCAGCAGACGGCTGTCATGGGCTAAAACGTTGTTTGAAACCAACGAAGAAGATCGTCGCCTTCCAATGTCGTATAGTGACGAAAAAAACATGGCTGGAAGTAACACAGCTGCACCTATTACTAGTTCTCTATCGAAACTGCAATCATTGAATGGACTCTTTGCAATTTATAAAAAGCAAGGGCCGACCTCTGCAGATGTTTTGAACAAACTGAAAGAAACTTTACTCAAGGGTAAGGCAGATAATAGAAACGAGACTTATTCATGAAGGCCAACACGAACTACCTGTTTTGTCATATAGAAGCTGGCGTGCAGAACCCGAACCCGAGAAAGAGGAAAAAACAGAGTCTGAAGATGGGTCACGGAGGAACGCTCGACAGTGCTGCCAGTGGAGTATTAGGTATGTCTAGTATCCCGTTTTTAAAAATTTGTTTGTTAAAGGTAATGAAGAAAACATACACAGTATAATAGAAACGCTATTGCTCAGTCTTGGTTTTAATTGATGTCATCAAAATGTTATTGTTAGCGTGTCTGAATTCGTGGCATCATTCTGTATTCCTTTTAGTTGTTGGTGTTGGAAATGGCACAAAAATGCTCAGCACAATGTTGGCTGGTTCGAAGGTGAGCTGTGGTACTGTACGAAATATTGTATGTTGTGCAAAAATGACACTTAGAGAATTCTATACATATACAATGAGATATTTTTCTGTATGTGGGTGGTTCTTAGAAAGTGCGGTCCAGTGGTGTGACATGGGGGCCCAAAAATTAAATTGTTCAAAACCAGGTGAAAATGTGAAATGCTTTAAATAAAACCTTTGTGCAGTGTGCTATGAACAAATAAAGGTACCGTAGTTGATGCAGCTCTTTGTTGAAGAGATTATTGAATGTCGTGGATTCGTGGTACTTTTTCATATTCATATTGGAGCGCTTGGAACTTGCACTCGAATAATAAACCTTTTTTAAATTAAGTATTTTTACACCCCTACAACTTCACTGCCTTTATGCAAAGTTATTCAGTTAAAAATACTTGTACAAATTACCAATTGTACATTAAAAAAATTACCTCTCCTTTTATTAAAATCGTTAAGGTGGAAGGACATGATACATTACAATCGTAAATTGTTCAACCCGAAAGGAAACATGACATGGGCATTTTTTTCTGGGAACATCACATGGACGCGATTAAAACATCGTAGGAAGGGTTCCGTCAGTCGTCATCTGTACCTGTGGGTAAAAAAAACAAAAAAAAGGACGTTTCGCTTTCACATTATGGACGCGATTAAAAGTTATTGTGTTCCATTAACATTCCGACAATTTATTGGTCGTAACTTTTCTTGAAACTGACTCATTTTAAGGGTACAATGGCTTTATGTCATCGCGAGGAGCATTTACGGCAGTCCTATGTTATTTATAGGTCTAATTTTTTTTCTTCAATTACGTGTGTGTGTGTGTGTGTGTGTGTGTGTTGTATTTAAATACCACAGTGCAGTACTTGTAAGTGGAATCTATCTCCAAGATTGAAGTAAGCAATCAATTATACTCTTTCTTTCAGAAATACACTGCTGTAGCAGAATTGGGTCAAGCAACAGACACCCTTGATGCGACTGGCAGTGTTACAGACGAGAAAGATTTCCGTAAGTACAAACTCCAGTTTTTCTGTTGCAATTTGTGGTCCTCAGTAAATGTGCATATCTGTGTGGTTTTGCTTATATACTGTGGAATATTTCCGTTTTACCACTTATTGTCTCTTTTTTTTTTCCCGACCTTATCCAGAACACATTACCAAGTTTGATGTGGAGGAGAAGCTGAACAATTTTGTGGGCAATATCATGCAAGTCCCACCACTGTAAGTTTTAACCGCGTCTAAATGTTAATAGTAGTGTATCTATAATTGTCTGCCGTCTTCTGTTGTGGTATCACAAAAACACAACCAAAAACTAAAGCAAAACTCTTTTGTAAAATTAATTTGTTAGATCAAGGGTTTGCAAATTATAAGCCATAAATCTGCCAGTGCGATTTTGTAAACTATTGGGATGGCTCCCAATTTGTACCCCACATTAACTGTCTGACCCAGCCACAACCATGAATAGTGCATCTGTTGTTTACCATTTGTCATCGCTGGTGCAACGATAAAATCCTCACGGCTGTAAATAATAATAATTTCGTTTGAAGGGAGAAAAAAAAAACCTCTTCAAAGGACCAAAGAGGACCAATAATTTATGGGAATATTAAAACCTTCATGTGTTTATGTATCACATAAGAACCATTGTAAGGATCCATCTCTGACATCTGTCCGTATTTCAAGCAGGGCCAATCCGTCCGAGCCGTTGGCGACAGCCAAGCGGCGTCAACATGTCACACGCAGGTGCCGCACACCTGACATGCAGCCAAATACAGAAAGAATAAAAAAATAAAACCATGTTGTATACATTTTCCACAGGCCTCAATGACATGCGTCCCATCATGTTTTTATCTCATCAATATTTACTTTTTTTTTTTTTCTTTATTTGGCTGCGTGTAGGCATGTGTGGTGCCTCTGTATGACGTGGAAATTACGTTCTCGCCGCCGATTGGCTTTCGCAGACGAGAGATGGACTGGGCCCATGTTGGTCAGCCTGAAATACTGACAAAAAACAGTGATGGACTGATATACATTCCAACACTTTTTACAGTGAGAGAGAACAATAAACGTACTTTCCGTTTTGACGTATATGAGGTGTATTCAAGGCCTGCAATTAAAGCAGGACATCTCAAAAGCCAGAGGGGGAAAAAAAAGTAACTAACCAAACTACCAATATTCCACTAGATGGTGGTAAAGCACTACCTTAATTGGTTTGGCCTGAACACAAACGGAGGATGCAAATCCAATCCAGTACATCTTTTATTTATATCGCGCTTTCACACTATCTGGCAGCTGTAACAAAGCGCTTTACAGAACATTTAACGTAAAATAACAAAAATAATACAATATTGAAGCAGTTATAGATGAAAGAGGTGCAAATCCAAATCTTTCACCAGTGGATCAGACACGTCATGCTCAAAACGTGTGGGACGTCCCACACGTCTGCTACAAGCTAAGTTTGAAAGTAAACAAGAAGCTGTAGCGTCCATGGATGAAGAAAAAAAAGAGATTGGTTCACTGCCCCTGTCCTATTTGGATCCGCATCAATATCATGCGGCGACTCTCAGTTCCAAATATACATCCGCGCGCGCCGATGGTCCTCTCTCGTCATCCTCATCGGTTATTTTGAGCAAAGAAAAGCCATGAAAATGCAAATTTGCGAATGCTGAACCACAAATCTGTTTATTGCACTGATTTCAAAGGTTGGTCTGGCAGCCAGACAAGGAAATGTGAAAATGGCATTCACTGGTAAAAAAAAAAAAATACATTCAGATGCTCAGTTAGCTGAAGCCTCAACAGATATCTTGGCTTAAGTCCCATGATGACAGTTTATGTGGCTTTAGAGACATTTGTCCAAAATCTCCTGTAGATGTACAACTTTAGTGATATCCATTTTCCCCCCTCCTTTATCATTTTTTGATTGAGATTTTACAAATTCAGGACATGTCGTTGATGATGTTATTTGCTTTTATTATTTCAGTTACTCAGCACTGAAAAAAGATGGCCAGCGAATGTCTGTCCTTCTGACCCCCCCCTCCTTTATCATTTTTTTATTGAGATTTTACAAGTTCAGGACATGTCGTTGATGATATTTGCATTTATTATTTCAGTTACTCAGCTTTGAAAAAAGATGGCCAGCGAATGTCTGTCCTTCTGAAGAAAGGTGAAAAGGTCGAGGCCAAACCTGCCAGGTCTGTTACGGTGTACAACTTGACCCTGCAAGAGTTCAAACCGCCCTTCTTCACTTTGGGTTTGTATCTGTTACATGATCAATTCATGTTTTGCTCCGTACAACTGTTATTTACTTTTAAGAGCGCATCCAAGATACAGTGGCACCTCTACTTACGAAATTAATTGGTTCTGGAAGCAATTTCTGAACTAGAAAATTTTGTCAGTGGAGACGCGTTTTCCATATAAATGTCCTAATCCGTTCCAAGCCCCCGCAAAATTCAGACATAAATGTTTTCTAATGCATCAAAATATGTTACAAATACATGTTACAAATTAGATTATTGCACAATAAATGAGAGCTGTGCATAATGTAAAAAAGAAAAAAGAAAAAAAATGGTCATTTAACTTTTAACTATGTCCTCATATTTAGTTCATGTTCTCTCTCAGAAGTGGTTTTTGCCTGCCGTTTTGTAAAGAACTGATGCAAGGACGTTTGCTTTTGTCAGCTTTTAACAATCCTTCGAAAATGTCCAAGACAAACATCAACAAAGTGAGCGGTCGCTCAACTGATGAACACTTTTTCTGTGTGATTCACATTTACGGAAAACTATCGGAACAACTCATGGCCCGAGGGGCGAATGAGGAGGACGCTGCATAGACACATATTTATGTAGATATCTATCTACACACAGACACATTTGGAAGAGGTCCCTCTTAGCCAATGGGATGCCAGAATGATGCTCTGTAATAGCCAATGGCAGAGCAGCTACAAGTATGTTGTGTTCAGGAACCTTGGAGCTGCGAGGAGCAGCCCATACTGTATTTTTACCTTTCGTATATTGAAATGTGTTTCGTAACTAGAGGCAATATTTTCCTGTTGAGACGTTCTGTAACTTGAAAATTTCGTATGAAGAGACGTTCGTAAGTAGAGGTACCACTGTAAATGATTTTTTTTTCTTCTCATTGCAGATATTGAATGCGGTGGTGGATTTTATGTTCGGAGTTTGGTGGATGACCTGGGAAAAGGTTGGCCTGACTGTATACAAAAAAATCCAATCAAATCCCAACCTAGTAGTGCTTCTCAACAAGAATGATCTGTTTATCTGCCGCAGCACTCTCGTCGTGTGCTCACGTCAAGGAGCTGGTCCGCACCAAGCAGGGTCAGTTCACTTTGGAGGAGCATGCCTTACACGAGGAGCAATGGACACTGGAACACGTTCTCAAGTCGCTGCAACCATGCCCAGATTCAGAAAAGACTCCGGATGGTATGGCAGCACCAGATGGTGGAACATGAGGAAAAATCCGTCGAGAGAAACTGATTCGGCTGTGGGTCAGCCATCAATGTCTTGATTAGTTATTTTCATGAGGTATCTTTTGTCGGAGAGTATCACTGTTTTGTTTTGTTTTTTGTATTTGAAGAACTTGTTTATAGACTTAAGCAAGTATGTAAGTTATGATGATTTTTTTTTTTTTTGTTCCTCTGTGGATTCATTTGCAAGCATTCTTGCTTTCCACACCATTTTTTCCCTTACATCATGTGTGTAAAAGAGAAGTGGACCCACACTGCAAAACTCAGCCGTGGGTCAGCACATATCCCATGTGTTGCATCAATACATTGGATAACGACAACGTTCCTCTTTATTTGGAGTCATTCTAATCTGTACCAGTCATTTGTTTAAGGTGACATTTTTTTTAATTACTATTGGAAGGAAGGATTGCAACAATTATACGACTCATCATAATGTGTTTCGAATTATTCGGCATATCCATTTATTCTTAATTTTACTATTCTTGGGAGTCTACGGATTGTCTGTGAAAATAGGGCCCTTTGTCTGTCTTAATTGCTACCTGGCAAAATAGCACAGCCAAAATCCTAAAAATTATGTGCATAGCCTCACAATGGTCAAGAAAGCTGTTTTATGGTGTGGAAAAGAAAAAGACAATATAACCCACCCCTCCAAAATAAAAGACATTCAGTTGACAAATAACTTTTCAGGGGAAATGCAAAAGGCTAACCATTTAAAATTTGCTGTTCTTCAGGTCAAGACTTTGATTATCTTTGGTTAAGCCATGCACTTCAAAAACGATGCTAAATTAGCGATCATTATTGATTTTATTTTAATTTTTTTTGCAAGTTGATATGTATTTTTTTCACCCTGAATGAATTGTCATCTTTTGGCACGGTGTGTGTGTCTAAAAATGCACGACTCAAATCGTGTGTGTACACATGTAAAACGATTTGAATCGGAAAAATCGTTTTTTGAATCGAATCGTCCCACTTGGAAATATATCGAGACATGAATCGAATCGTCTTTTATTGGAGAGAAATCTGAAGTACTGTACTGACAGGTTCAGTCAAATATATGTCAAATGACAATTTTTAAAAAGTAACTGCGTTAAACAGATTTAACAAATCGAATCAAATTGTCATCTCACCGAGTCGAACGGATTGGATGGATTCAAAATGGAGCGCAGTTCTCCCATGTTCAGTGGAGAGCCGGGCGCCACAGCGATTTGTCATTGGTGGTAATATTTATGGCGCCAGCTGTCACTGACCTGCTGCTCCAATTGAAACGTTATCCATCGTTTTGGGCAGGAGTCTGACGCCAAGGGAATCAATGAGTTGTAATCAGTTGTCTCAGTCCAAATATTAGCCGTTTGGTGTTTTCTTTCATGTCTTCAAGGCTATTCACGTCCATGTTTGCTCTCGGAGTTCGCTTTATCTAAATGACAGCAGTTGGGAAAGTTAGCGACGCGCGTTTTTTTTTTTTTTTTTTTTTTTTTTTAAGACGCATCACAAAATCGAACACTCGATAAGTGAGCCCATCTATCAGATGCGAAGCATTTCGCTTCCACTCGGCGCTGCGACCTGACTCGTGGCCGCGTTAATTATGGTCGTAAAAATTAACACGCAATGCAACCGTGCAAGAGAGACTTTTATCACTCGTCGTCGCGGAGCAGGATTCATATGGGGCAAGATAAGCAGACATCTGCAGACTCAATTCTCACTGATTGTGGCTATCTTTCATTCAACATTCAAATGCTGAGTTAATCACTCGCCGTAAAACTGCATCGTGTATAGATTGTAAGCTATAGGCTACATCGTTCAAGATAAGGGGCTGTTTGATTCGTTAAAGTCAAGAACGGTTTAACATATACAGTAGCCTGCGTAACCATCCCTGCAACATTCTTTAATATTCAATTACTGTATTGTACGGATTAAATATACAAACATGAAATATTGGATGCCTGCTCGTTGTTGAAATACATTTCACATCTGTAACTTCCCCGAGAATTGTAATTGTGTATGCAGAAAGCAAAAAAAAAAAAAAAAAATACTATTTAATTTCAACGTTTAAAAGTATTTAAAAAATGTTTTTTTCTCTGTTTTCTGACTGTCTGGAATCGCATGGTTCTACAGAACCATGTGATATTTCTTACATTCAAAACTTTTATTTCAAACACATTGAATGACCAAATATGGCTCGATGACGAAAGGGATACTGTAACCCACTTAGATCTTTAATCATTTCAATTTTTATCCAACACTCATGGCAGAGATGGCTCAATGTTTCAAATGAACATTTTGGACTCTGGTTTCAAAAAATGTATTGATTGTTTTTTCGATAGAACTTCAGGCTATGGAGATGATTTATTTACTTATTGCAATAGAAAATCTTGCGCAATGGGGATTTCACCATGAGTTGTAATCAAAGTTTATGACGTTTCAGGAAAAAAGAACACTGTTGCTCAACCCACCCCTTAATTAATACAGATTACTAAATAATGACTATATTTCATATATTATTGTTTCTAGCCGACATGATGATGATTATTATTACTATTATCCATCCATTTTCAAATCTGTTTATCCTCACATGATGAGTCTCGGGCTTGCCGGAGCCTAACCCAGCTTTCTTCGGGCCGTCGGCGCGGTAATCCCTCAACCAGCCAGCCACAAGGCACACATCCACGAACAACCATTCGTCCTCACAATTACGTACACTTAGGGACAATTTAGTGTTCCATTAACCAGCCATGCATGGTTTTGGAATGTGGGAGGAAACCGAAGTACCCGGAGAAAACCCACGCAGTCACAGGGAGAACATGCAAACACCACACAGGAAAGCCGGAGCCGGAATCGAACCCTGCACTTCTGCACTGTGAGGCGGACCTGCTAATCTGTAGTCCACTCTGCCGCCTATTATTATTATTATTAATGTATTTATTTAACTGGTGTGCTACAGAGAAAATGAGGCCAGATTCGGAATCAGCGCCAACAAATACTCTCAAAAATTTGACTTGCATCACTGTTGAAAAACGATGTAAAACTGTAAAAGTATCATCTTCAGGTAATTTTGTATTCGGATCAATAATTACTCTGTGAATTAGTGTATGTGCACGTACACTAATTACACTGTTACATGTAACAGGAATAACGTAAACATTTATATGAACACATTTACTCAGCACATTTTATATACAAATTTAATCTAGGAATACTTTCATTAAAGATTTAATTTACAAAATGTTAGCACAGCTTTACTGCACTCCATATTCAGAAATTATACCTCAATCTTCTCTTGATGCTCCGTTTTTTGTGAAAGAAAAGACTACATTTGCGTTATGAAGCAAAATTCAGCAATCAATGACATTCTGGACAAGAATTAGTTTTTCCTCCCTAAACTATCAACTAAAACCGATTATTTGAGCGTCTTTGTTTTGGTGGAGAAGCAATTACCTTTGGTCAACTGTCATCTGATTACTGAATGTCTGCGTGGGTCGATTGGAGGAGATGAGGGAGCCAATCAGAAACGTTCGCTGTCCACCTGGAGGAAGTGACTCGTCCATTTATCTCCTCCCTTCTGCGTCTGCAGCCAGATAACAGTCCAACAGTTGGATCGGGACCACCTCCAAAAAAAAAAAAAAACCTCCCCACGCGACTGAAACCGTCTTTTTTTTTTTACTTAACGGATACTGCAAATGTTTTTTGTACTGAAAACGCTGGAAAAGAACTGAACTTTTGTCCAAAATATAGATCGCGCGAGTGAACGGCAAGCCAGCCAGCATGAGTGTCCCTCTGTACGCGCCGACTGCCATCCAACAATCTCACCCGACTCCTTTCTACATAGAAGACATTCTAGGGAGGACCGATCACACCACCAGCAACTCTTCATCTACTTCTCCCTCCACTTCCACCGCCTCGTCATGCTCATCCACTCCGGTCATCCCGACGCCGACTTTCCCGTCGCCTAACTCCTCCTTTACAAACTTCATCTCAACTTATCGGACGCCAATTTACGAACCGACGCCGATTCATCCGGTGCTGTCGCACCACCACGCGACCGCCGCTTTCGCGGCCTGCACGTACGCCTCCGCTGGAGCTTTCGCAGGCTCCGTGTATCCTTTTCACCATCAGCAGCACCACCGAGCGCTGGGGGAGTACGCACATACCCTGCTAAGACACGACCCTTTCGGTGAGTTGCTATAAAAAAAAAAAACTGATTTGAGCAGCAACCGCGTCGTAATATTTGTGTGATAAATACCATACATAACCCATAACACAGACAATACCGAACCCTTGGCGCCCAACATATCTATTTTTCACTTACTGATGGTCTCTTAGAATCCGGACAGCTTTTGTGAAATATTTCCCGAGAGAATCTAAATCGCCATATAATTTCCAAATACGTTTCACACAATTGTTTTGTTTCCGGCTGTTTGTTGCACCACTTGAACAGAATATTTTGCAGAACAAAAACGATCACGCTTGCATAACAATAAAGTCCAGTAATAATACATTGTTATTAATATTATTAGTACAGTATTGACCTTAACAAATATAGTAATGTCAATGGTTATAAGTTGCAGAATGCACAAAAAAATTGAATGGAGAGGTTGTTGTGTGTCTAGCTATTTAGTAGGCAACTTCTTTGTGTATAGTTTTAATAGCTGTCCTATACCACTCACTGTCCTGTGTCCACTGTTTTAAATTCTTTTTTATCCTTTTATTTATCATCACCCTTCTTTGCTGAGTATAAACTATTACTGTTATGAACTTTGATTTGTATTGACTGTTATCTTGAACAATCTTGAAGTGGAGCAAAAAGTAGGCCAAGCCCACATCACTTTCTGGACTCCCTTCATTCAAAGGCCGTTAAAAGGGTTAAATGGCACCTATAATTTTTGAGCTGCAGGAACAGTTTCAGTTCGACATGGGACATTAAAACAAACAAAAAAAAAAAACAGTTACACTGGATTCCGATAGTGAGCCCTTGGTACCAGTAAAATGTTCTCTTTCGAAATTGTGGCCAAACAAATTGGACTGGTACGGTCAAGTTCCATTGTACCTTGGTGGATGAAAAGTGACTCCTGCAGTGCAAGTTCAACGAAGTATGACGATGATGATTATGCGGACAACTTTATGCACATGAAGTTTCAGACCCAACCACGTCTTTGTGACTCGGCTGCAGTGCAACCAAGACTATTTTTGGCATTTGCATAAGAGCATCACGCTTGATCATGCATGCATGCTGGGTGCAGTGAAAACAACATCTCAGAATCAGAGCATTTTAAATGCGTTTTTTTTTTTTTTTTACTTCAAGTGTACATTCTTAATCCATAAAATACACAGCCCTCTAATATATATTGTTGCGCCCCCAACCAATCAGTCCGTTTCTTTTTTGCGGTGATAGTGTTTGTGGATGGGTCTCTGAAATGTGCAAACCTTGACTCATTTTCCTGACCTTCATTGTTCAGAAACATCAGAGGAGTAAGTCAGCCAGTGACTTAAAACTTGTTATTGTGTGCGCGCATGCATGTCAAAGGAAACTGTAATGTTTGAATGTGGTTGTATAGATATAATTGTTTGAATGGTCTTGGAGCTCTGTGGCTCTGATATTGCGGGCGATTAAAAAAAAAACATTTTTTTTTTAAGTGGAGCGTGACAAGCGGGTCATGTGACTTCGGTGTTGTTGCTGAATGAGCTCCGGGGGCCTGTTCCGTTGCCTTTGCGGAAGCCGTGAGCTTGTCGATAGGAGTAAATCTGGTCTCAGAAGCTGTTGAATGTTTTCCTGTCTCACTCCGGCCAGCCGCTTCCTCGGGAGCCCGCTGCACGCTGCTGATTATTTTATCGACATCCTCAATACAGACATATTCAGGAAACACTCGGCCTCTGATAGCCCGGGATCCGTTTTTCACATATTGTTGCACTTCCTCTGCTTGGCCAGTGAGGATGTGAGTGACTTTCTTTTATGATTGCAAACAGGGCTACACCTATTGCGAAAAAAAATGTGTAACTTCTGAACGAGTGTGCGCGAATAGAATACTTTGCTTCAAAATAGCATAGAGTAGCAAATTCGGGTTAGACTTAAATAAATGTATGTTTCCTTTGACATTTTTCGTCGCTGTAAATAAAAGGATAAATCAATGTATTATTTGTCTGTCATCGAACATTGTATCACAAGTCCTAAACCAGGGGTGTCAAACAAATTTTTGTCATGGGCCACATCATCGCTATGGAGGCCAATAAAAAGTTTTTTTTCCAAATATTATTACATTTATTTTTAAAAATGGGATGTTGGGAACAAAAATGCTTGCAATATCTCAACATTTTAAAAAAGTCAACACAGTTTGTAATTTTGGTATTTCAGCAAGAAACATGAAGTGGATGCACATCATTTGCTTTGGCGGGCCACATAAAAAGATGTGGCGGGCCAGATCTGGCCCTCGGGCCTTGAGTTTGATTCCTGTGTCCAAAAGTGTCAGACAGCATTCGTGTTGCAATTTGTTCCATTGAAAAAATGATTTTTTTTGTACTCTTTTAATATTTTTGGTAGGTTTTGTTACGCCTGCGTATATAGAAGAAATCTATTTATCATACAAAATCTCAGCCCAGCTCATGCTTCGTTCCAACCAAGACCGACCCAAAAAAAAAAAAAACACACACACTTTCGCCCAGTGGACTTTGATTGTGTAAATGAGAAGAGGACATGCGTGTCTGTCGGTGCATGCCATCGCCCATAATCACGCCACAAAGCAGGAAACACATGAAGCGGATATTTGGCCATAGTTTAGTCTCTGTCACGACCTTCCCGAAAAAGAAAGCGTACATGCAGCAGGCTAGAACACAGCTGCAAGAAAGAACTATTGTTTGTTCCTCACCATTAACCTGACGGGAAACCAGCCTTGAAATTGGTTAAAACACTTACAAGGCACTTGCAGTTTCGAATGCAGTTAATTTTCCATGCTTGGAGTGAAGATAAGGACTTCATCCTTATTTTGAAAAACACAGGAGCGCAGGCTTAAACCTTTGTCACCAAGAGAAATGTAATCATATACTTCAAAAGCCCATCAATAAATATTTGATCAGGTTACATTTCATCAAGATATGCGCATCTGAACGTGTTACGAAATGTGGATTAAATATGGTTGAATAGTTCATGTTCAAACTCTGCTCCCATTTTAAAATGCAGTTAAATGTAGCGATTTTCTTTTTCTTTTTTTAACGCAATTATAAGGCTTGTAACCATTTGAAATACTTCAATAAATTCCGGTTTTAACCACCCCAAATTGGCAGCAGTTGCATTGTTTTACTGCAAATGACTCCCACAATTTGAGGCCAAGTAGTTATCGTCACTATATTTAAATTTTTAAATACAACCTTTACCCCAATACGATTATCATCGTGTCTATACTAATGTCCTAAACATGAGCGTTTCCTTTGTCATATTTAATTAAAAGTTTGTTGAGGCGTCTCTTTCCATTTATCGACGATGGTAGCACGATATGACGTCGGAATGTTCCAAATATGAAAGAAAGATCATGAATGCAAATTATATTAACGTTACATTATGAAATCGACCGACAATAGCGCCGATGAAAAAAAATAATAATTTTACGGAAATGTGCAACGGGTGGGAGAATATGCAGGGAAATTAAATCCGTTTGCTCTGGAGATTACGTGTACACAGTAGGCTAGGCCCGGTGTTCATTTTTAATTATAAAAGACCCTCGCTGTGCTTTCTCTCAAAGGGAAACCTCTGCTGTGGACCCCCTCCATCCAGCGGCCCTTACATAAGCGAAAAGGCGGTCAGGTCCGTTTCTCGAACGACCAAACCATCGAATTGGAGAAGAAATTCGAAACCCAGAAGTACCTTTCACCCCCGGAGAGGAAACGACTTGCCAAGATGTTGCAGCTAAGCGAGCGGCAGGTGAGCAAATACCAAACCTAGAGGAAAAAAATTGTCTGAGCTGAAGTTCACTGAGATTAAATAATGAGTCGCGACGCCACATTTGAACAGCTTTCATACACTCGTTAATACCTTAACATTGATCAAACATGCTTTATAACAACAAAAATAATAAATATACAATAGCGAAGCGAAAGGTTTCGAATCGTAGCCTAACGCACGCAATGACGTTTACTTAATCAAGGCTGATGGGTTTAATTAATAAAGTTAATTATTTAATAATAATAATAATAATAATAAAAATAATAATAATAGTGGAGATTTATCTGAAATTGTTTGCCATTCCTGAACTCCGTTTTTAAATAACCTCTTTAAGAGAAAGCCACTAATAATGGCTACCAAATAATTGCTACCTTCAGGAATTAATTCAGATTCAGATATCAGTATAATTAGAATATAGGCCTATTTATTATGATAATGGACAAATAGTAATTATGAAATTGGTATCTATTTTTTCAGGTGAAAACCTGGTTTCAAAATCGACGTGCAAAATGGCGAAGACTCAAACAGGTTGGTTCTTTTACGACAACTACTTTTTCCGGATTCGACTGATTATTTATGACAACTTTTTAACTGGATACTCAATTTTTCAATGGATCAGGAAAATCCACAAGGAGGTAAACCGGAGGAGGACGCCAGTGGTGCGGCGGGGAGGAATGACAAAGGAGACGGGACGTCCGAACAGTCCGGGGTCCTGCGCACAGAGCAGACACGGACGGTGGCGGACTCCCACGTGGTTGAAGCGGGCGACAGTGGGCGAGCCATGTCGCCACAACAATCCTTCGCGGAACCGGAATGGAGCCTTTCAGACGACACAGACCTGGAGCTGGACATAGAGGACGACAATGAGTTCACACTGACCCACCAGCTCTGAGGCGGGTGAAGACACAATGGACCGGTCCCACACATTCGCAAAAAATAAATAAAATAAAATAAAATATATTTTCTCTCTCTCTCTCTCTCTCTCTCTCTCTCTCTCTCTCTCTCTCTATATATATATATATACATTGTGTGTGTGTGTGTGTGTGTGTGTGTGTGTGTGTGTGTGTGTGTGTGTGTGTGTGTGTGTGTGTGTGTGTGTGA